CTTTCTTCCTGTACACGTCTTCTTGGCCCTGTTGGTCTAGTCTGACTCCTCTTCCGACGTGCAGCCACTCAGTTGGGAGACCGCTTTCCCCGATATCTCAGTCGGGTAAGGAGAGTTATACGTCTTCCAAAATGGTTTAGGGATTGGTGTCAATATAAGTCGTCGTTCATCCAGTCTTAGTTCTTCAAGTGTTATGATTCTTACTGACGAAGAATGTTGCCTTTCTTCTTTTAGTCAATAAGCCGTGGTAAACTTCTTGTTGACGACTGGTCTGACTGAAATAAAGTCAAGCGCTCATCCAAGCAATAATAACCAGTTTTGGTTAAATATAGACGGTTTAATGAAGGTGAATAAAATGATTTACAATCGAATATATTTGACATCTATTAACACAAAAAGATTAGAAGGCGGCGACTTGGAATCTCGATCTATGTGTTCAAAAAAGGTTCAGTCAAAAATCCAAGGGGATATTGCCCCACTTCCACGTGCAGGTGGGAAACTACCTGTATATCTGACGTTCTGGTCCGTATCCTCAGAATCGAGCCGAATTTATTCATTCTTCTCTGCCGACATATCAAACTGTTCACATGCCAAAATAACTCAATTTTCCATTATTTAAAGTCGGAGTTAAAAGACCAATTCCTATGATTTGATTTTACACAATTTCATTCAGAGCCATTGCTCCATAACCACAACCTATTCGGCTGACATATGCGTCAGAAACGAAATTTTAAAAAATAAATACTCTTACCTGTCCAGTTCGAGGTCAAACCTCGCCTCACGAAAATGTTCCTGTCTGGGAAAATTGATAAGGGAAATAATAACACGCACCAATCTGTTCATATGTTGTCCTCTACAAAAAAAAAAAAAACCTACGATATCGGCCAATAACAAGTTACCTTGGTATAATTCTTTTTGATTTCAGAAAAATATATTATATATGATGCAGATAAATTTGAAATGCTATTTATACACTGAAAATTCTCTTTATACACTGATTATATATCTACACAAATTAGTTTAATCCATTCATGTATTTTCAGGAGCATGGTGTATTCTAAAATGAAATAGTATAAATCACATTGAAAAGATATTTTGTTTGATTTTCACCATGTACAAGGCCCAAGAGACACTCAAATGATAGGGTTACAGAGTAAGACACAGAGTTTATGCGGATATGTGAGGAAGATAATGGATAACCCTAGACATAAATAATTTGATATTGTAGTGGTCGAGGAATCATATATTTAGGGATCGGTTCCACAAAGCAGCGGTTCGTGGGAAAGACCTGCTCAAGTCGAACTTACATCTCCTCAATGAAATATGAAGGGAATGTTCGTTGTTAAGGTGCGCTCCAAGGTGATTAGTATGGTGGGTCTTAGACGTCAAGATTAAAAATGGTGGAAACGAGAAATGCAGCTCAACTCAACACTTTCCATGGAAATGGCGATAGACCGGCGAGCGGCATGGTACGTCTCGACTGTTAGAAAGCGATTGAAAATATTTCGTCTCTTACAAGGGCGCGGACACGCCTTTGGACTCTATCGAGTCTGGAATGTGAAAACTGTGCAGCTTCTGCCCTAATATGGCGACAGTGCTCTATTCTCAGACTGATCTTTTAAAGGTAGAGGATAACAGGCGGAGTCAGTTACATGGAATCGACCATTTTACCAGTACCTCTAAAGTTGGATCGTAAGTATGAGCTCTAGTTTAGGTCAGGGTTAGCTTTGTCAAGGCAGTGGACTTCCCTGAGGAAGTACCCATTCATTGCGATAGGTAAAACTTCTGGATCCGCTCGGTGAATATGGAACGTCACCAGTTTGATTTTCCAGGAATTGAATGGAACCAGCCTGCTTTTCCCTCATTAAGCGGTTAGAGTTAGGTCAGAGGAGATCAGCTGCCAAGTCCTGATCAGATGTGTTTTGTGGGTGCACATATATCGTTGTATCAACAGCATAAATATTCACAAAAGATCGGAGTATACAGTTAGGCAGATAGACACCTACTCTAAAGCAACATTGAACAGGTCTTGCAAACCATTTATAACGAATCTGTTTCATATTGGGTGCTCCATCGATTTGGCCATATGCTAATAAATATTAATTTGTATACATTAGTTTAAGGAAACGTATTTTAATGTTTTTCTTTCCACACGTGGGTGAATTGTTAGTAAATTAGTCAGGGAAGTGATATTGATAATATCGGTTTTTGAAGACGATCCCAGCGGGCAGCACCGATACAAATCGTTGGGATAACATACACGGGTTCATCCAATCGAGTAGCCGAATGTCGGGACTACTTTCAGGAATCTTTCTTCTACGAGAGACGCCTTGGAGATAGATGGTATCACTGGGGATGCGCGTGTGGAAGCACAGCGTGGAACAGTCCATGTGTCAAGGAAAGTGTGTTTAAGCTGTGGTTAGGAGTCGGGTTAAAATCATCATCACCCGTTACAAACCTAAAAGAGCTGGAGAGAATGTCAAATTGAATACTCCATAAGCAATTAAGCAGCACTCTTCAAAAAACAGCTTAATATACATGAAATCCTACCAACAAAAAGCGAAGCGAATACTATTTACGCCTAACGAGTAAAACAGAAACCAAACCAACTAAATCAAATGAAAAACAACAATAAAAAAACACCGGGGGGCTGCATGGCAAATATCTGATAAGAACGAAAGAAGCACATGTGAACCAACAGAATATACATCAGTGGCCGAGGATCACCGGGTTGAAAGCTGAAACAGAAAGACTAATTATTGCAGCTCAGGATCAATGCTTAGAAACCAGATCCTATCAATGTCACACAATCAAGAATGCAACTAACCCGAAGTGCAAGATCTGCGGAAAATATGTTGAAACTCTCGACCATATTATCTCAGGATCTCCGAAACTAGCAAAAATGAACATACCCAAAGACATAACAAGATAGCGACATATGTGCACTGGAAGATATGCAAGAAGCACAAAATCGAAACCACTGAGAGATGGAATGAGCACCAGCCATATAAAGATACCAAAAATAACGCTGTAACTATCCTCTAGAAGATACCAATTCAAAATGACAGGGAAATAAAAGTCAAGAGGTCTGATATTATTATAAAAGCCAAGAAATTAAGGAAGAGTATACTTATTGACAGAGCAGTACAATCTGAGAGAACACCTCCATGAAAATTATGTAGAAATTGTCCACTTACAATGAACTGGAGATCACGATTAACAGGATGTGGGGAATGAAGACAGAGACTGCACAAATATTAATCCGAGCTCTGGGCCTCGTTAGAAAAAAAGTGGTCAGTTTTACTAACAGTTTCCAAGGTAACATCAACATACAAGTTGCCCAGAAGATCGCCCTAATAGGAACATGCCAGATACTAAGAAAAGTGCTAACAATTATATGACAATTAAATGACAGGGTCTGAGGACCATAGTTTGGACCCCGCTCTAAGGATACAAAGCAGGAAACATAGCATACACGAATGATGATAATAATATTAATATAGGCATAAGTTATCGCGACTCTCCACAACTTCCTATCCTTTGCAACTCTTAGTAGTATCACCCCCCCTTATTTCCATTCATTTAGCCATTGTCTGATAAACTGATTCGTTTATGGTATCTCCCACACATACACGCGATCTTCTATGTGACGTTTCTCTTCAAGACATAGGCGATCATGGCCCTCCACAACTTCCTACCCTTTGCAGCTCTTTGTAATATCCTCTCCCCTTAATATTATTCATTTAACCAATGTCTGATAAACAAATTCGTTTATGATATCTTCGACACACAGTCACAGAATCTTCTTCTATATGTCGTATCCTTGGAAGTCATACACGATCGTGAGCCTTCACAACTTCCTATCCCTAATATCTCTGAGCAATACCTTGATAAAGTTGTTTTGGGGATACTTGACATCGTTGTCTTGTGCATATGGCAGCGCTTCTTGGAACAGTTCCTGTACCGAGGAAATTGTTGTAAATCTAAACTGTGAATAGAAGTTGAAATACGACCATCATCACCCGACCGAAACATCTACGAGTCGGAGAGTATCTCAAAACAAAAATAATAATAATAATAATAATAATAATAATAATAATAATAATGAAAAATATCTTCCTGCTTCGCAAGACGCATTGATATCATTGGGAGTGCTCATGTAGTTGCACGGAGTGGAAAATTTCATTTCTTCTGTTTCCTTCATTTCAGTCTTTTTCATTTTTCTTTCAAACCAGCCTCTCTCTCTCTCTCTTCTCATTTCGATCTCGTACTTACGTTCTCTATCAGCTTTCTCCTCTTAAATATATATTTCCTTTATCCTCTAATCTATCTTTCCCCTGTCTTTGTTTCTCTGTGTCCCTCTCTATCCGTTTTTTTCAATCTCTCGCTCGCTTTCTTTCACTTTCCATTTGCCGTTTTCTCCCTTCCTGGTCTCTATTCTCTTTACTTTCCCTTCTATCTCATTATTTTCATTCCAATGTAATTTTTAAGCAATATCTAATTTATCATAGCCTCTTAACACTGGTGATATTTTATATTGTTCTTTTCAAATCGTTGTCAGAAAATAGCTTAAAAATTAGTTATTTTGCTAAATTTATTTCGTATAAATCATTAAAATTCTTAAAGCTATTCTTGGGAATCTATGTATTTATTTTTTTTCCTACAAAAAGATACTGAGGATTACATGGACCGATGAAGTCGGCAACAAGAAAGCCATACAGAAAATGATTAAAAAAAAAATACCTATATTTAAAAACAGAAAGAGACATCTGAAATTTCGCAGAATGAGGAAAAACATTTTGGAAAACTTAACTTTCACGGGGCTTATTACCGGAAAGTTAGACAGAGGAAAGCAGCGGGCTATATACTTGACAAGTTCGTTTGAATGAATGGCAGAACGTGGTTCTGAAGTTCAGGCAAAGTGTGAAACGATACTAAGCATCACAAAATATAGGATGTTGTGAAGAGCCATGATCACCCATGTCCTGAAGAGAAACGGTTCATAGAAAATGCTGTGTGTGTGAAGGAGAGAGGGGGGGAGAAAGAAAGAGAGAGAGAAAGAGAGAGAGAGAGAAAGAGAGATGATAAACGAAACTGTATAAGACTAATAGTGACTAAATAAATGATAGTAAAGACAAAGATATTCCTCAGAGCTAGAAAGGATAGGAAGTTGTGGAGGCTCATGATCGTGCATGACTTCCAATAATACGGCACATAGAAGAAGATTCCGTGACTGTGTGTCGAAGATATCATAAACGAATCTGTTTATCAGACATTGATTAAATGAATAATATTAAAGGTGGAGATATTACTAAGAGCTGCAAAGGATAAGAAGTTGTGGATAGTCACGATCATCTATGCCTTTAAGAGATATGGCACATAGAAGAAGTCCCCGTGTGAGTCTATGTCTAGGTGTGTGTGTAGTCATTAAAATGACCAACACTTTATTTCATTTAAATCAAAATTTCATACTAGAGGAATATTTATAATTTAATTAGCAGACAACACAAATATTTCAGAAATGGAGGAAATGATTAGTCAAACTGAATTTACGCAGATAACAATTTAAAATGGATGAAGAGACTAAACACCGAGGAAATAAAAGGATGGAATGAATTCATGATACAGCTGCCATATCTGGTCTGCGGTTCCAGCTGCACATCTCTGGATTCTTGACAAAATCCAAAAATGGATCTGTAATGTAACCGATCCTGACCAGGAATCTCGACTTCAGTCTCTTTCTCACCAATGTCACGTGGCTTCGCTCTGTCTTTTCTACAAATATTTTCTTGGCAATTCCTATGATGAGCTTTTTTTTCCCAATGATTCACGTCTACGAGAATTTAAGCGAACTATTATATTGGCAACCAGGTTGCCACCCTTTAATTTTGAACTAGCTAGATGCCACCGCCAATTCTACTCCAACGGTTTATTTTCTCCTCACCTGTGGAACTCTTACTCCGCTTCAAAAATTTAAATGCAGCGTTAATTACCATCTTCATTTTCTTGAACTCTGTTCCATTTTTGTTCTTTCCTCAATTCTCTCCATTCTCAGACTTCTAGTTTTCTTTCATTTTCACTCTTTGTAATACCATACGTTCTGGTGGCATTATCGCCTTGCTAGTTGATGGTGAATCGTTACTTGCATGGTTTTCGAAATATTGAAACTACTATTTAAGTCTATTTGCTGTTGAGCTGTTAGAGTGAGGTCAAAGGATAAATGTTAAAATGCTATTTTGCTTAACTTCCTAGTTTAAGAATCTATTTTCCTTTTTTTTTCAAAAGTTATTTGAAACAGAATTCAGTTTCATATAGCTTCCATTATGATTATCAAGCAACACTATGAATAGAATATTTTCGAAACTCAGCTAACAGTTAATAACAAGCAATATATTTTTATAAAAGCATAATTTTTCAAAAAATTAAATATTTGTTATTTTCTTACAATCATGGGTTTTTACCTATTTTTACCCTCCAGGCATATTTTGCATTATTTTTTCAGACTTTAACGCAGCAGAACCCGATGCGGTCAAGAATTTGGTGAAAGACACAGTACTGAAACCTCTTGCAGACAGTTCTTATTTGAACTTACCAGATGAGCATACGCAAGACAATGCGCTCTCTGAGATTGTGTCTGGTACTGAGGACGGTGACATACCCGAGCCATTAATTGGTTACAGTGAAGAAGACCTCCCAAAAAGACCTATGGAGTTTCTTGGTAAGAGGGCCATGGAATTCTTGGGGAAACGCCCGATGGAATTCTTGGGAAAAAGACCCATGGAGTTTTTGGGAAAGCGTCCCATGGAGTTTTTGGGTAAACGGCCCATGGAATTCATAGGCAAACGTCCTATGGAGTTTTTGGGGAAAAGACCTATGGAATTTTGGGTAAACGACCAATGGAATTTCTGGGCAAAAGACCCATGGAATTTTTGGGAAAGAGGTCAGATGAATCTGAAGATAAACGGAAGATGGAATTTTTGGGTAAACGACGAATGGAGTTCTTAGGGAAGAGACCAATGGAATTTTTGGGGAAACGCCCAATGGAATTTTTAGGAAAACGACCAATGGAATTCCTAGGAAAGAGGGGGATGGAGTTTTTAGGCAAACGTCCAATGGAATTCTTGGGAAAGCGAAGAATGGAATTCTTGGGAAAACGCCCAATGGAATTTTTAGGTAAGACTTTATTGAACTCGCTGGACCCAAGACCGTGGCACAATTCTAGTGAAACCTTAGCGGGACAAGCTGATCGGGAACGCCATGTCTATTTAGGACCTGACCGTAAGCATCATTTTCTTGATGAGATGATAGATAAGGGGGAACTTCAAGATATGAGTATCTTAGATCAGGGGAGTAAACTTTTGCCTGAAGGTCTTGATATTAATAAGGTTAGTGATGACGATATTCCTACACGTATACACTTACGTTCAAATTCGGTTAGTGTGAAGCACAAACGAGAAATACCGTTATTTGTAGGGAAGCGAGATCAGTCTATTTCTTTAAATAAAAGGAATGTTGATCCAGCTTTGAAAGAAATGCTGGCAATTAAACCAAGCGAACGGGATAAGGAAAAGGAAAATATCGTGCCATATTCGGTTCGAGAAATTCTGGAAAACCTTCCAATGAGTGAAAAAGCGGACATGCAGAAAACCGACACTAATGTCGAAATAACTACCGGAGAAAAAGATTTTCATTATGATGACATTCATGAGGAATTTGGTGAAAAGCCGTCCATTTACGAGAAGAAAGAATATCAAATGTTCGTTGGCAAAAAGAACAAACCGATGTTAGTTGGTAAAAAAACAAATCCGATGTTCAAAGGGGAAAAGAAAATCCTATCTTTGCTAGGAAAAGAGATAATCCCATGTTTGTAGGGAAAAAAAATAACCTCATGATTTTCGATGAAAAGGCTCGCCCAGTGGATCTTAGCAAAAAATCAAAACCTTTCGTTGTGGGTAAGGAAGACAAGATTATATCTGAAAACCAAAAAGACTCAATGTTTCCTCTAAATAGCAACCCAATCTTTGCCGAAAAGAAAAACCCTATGTTTGTAGGTAAAAAAGAAGATCCAATTCTTTTTAGTATAAACAGCAATCCACAGTTAATGGATGATACTAAATATCCTGCGTTTGCCGATAAGAATTATAACCCAGTGCATGTTGGTAAGAAAGATGACCCTATGTTTGTTGGTAAAAAATCTAATCCAATGTTTGTTGGTAAAAAGTCTAAGCCTCTGTTTGTAGGCAAAAAGAATAATCCTATGTTCGTAGGTAAAAAGAATAATCCTATGTTTGTAGGTAAAAAGAATAATCCTATGTTCGTTGGTAAAAAGAATAATCCTATGTTCGTAGGTAAAAAGAATAATCCTATGTTCGTTGGTAAAAAGAATAATCCTATGTTCGTAGGTAAAAAGAATAATCCTATGTTCGTTGGTAAGAAGAATAATCCTATGTTCGTTGGTAAAAAATCTAATTCAATATTTTTAGATAACCCGATGCTTACTGGTAAAAAATCCAAACCTATGTTTGTAGGTAAAAAGAATAACCCTATGTTCGTCGGTAAAAAGAATAATCTAATGTTTTTAGCACCAAAAGACAATTCCAAGTTTGTTGGAAAAAAATCTAAACCCATGTTTGTAGGTAAAAAAGATCATCCGATGCTAATCGGTAAAAAATCTAACCAAAGGTTTGTAGGTAAAAATGTATACCCCATGGTTGCCAACCGGAAGAGAATCTCTTTGTTCGATGATAGTAGAAACACACCTATATTTGTTAGTAAAATATACAGCAAAAAGTTTTTAGGTAAGAAAAACGATCCTGTATTTATAGAAAAATATGAAGACCGAATGCCTGTTGATAAGAAATTTTCGAACGTTATCACCGAAGGTCTAAACCCAACTGATAATAATGATTATAAAATTTCTTTGGCCGAAAAAGATGACACTCAGCCTTTATTACACGATTACAGTGTATTTTCATCAAGTCCAAAATATGTAGGCGATTCTTTAATGACAAATAAAAAGAATAAGCCAATGTTTGTCGGCAAGAGAAGTCTTCCGAGACTGCCCATAAACTGGAATGAGTTGACTTCTATGACGTACAAGGACCGTTTAGATGACACGAACCACACCAAACACTTCAGTAAAAGAAGCATAATGTTGTACAGTTTGCGAACCCTTCCGCCACATCATCGCCGTCTGAATTATCTTGACGTTCTTCACTTTATCCTGGCAAGAGAAGAATTGATTAAGAAGGACGGAATAAAGTGGCATAAACAACAGAGACCAATATTTGTTGGAAAAAAAGAGGATAATCCAATGTTCATAGGTAAAAGAGAGGATAATCCAATGTTCATAGGGAAAAGAGAGGATAAGCCAATGTTCGTAGGGAAAAGAGAGCTCCAACCAATGTTTGTAGGAAAAAGAGAGGATAATCCAATGTTCGTAGGGAAAAGAGAACTCGAGCCAATGTTTGTAGGTAAAAGAGAGGATAATCCAATGTTCTTAGGGAAAAGAGAACTCCAGCCAATGTTTGTAGGAAAAAGAGAGGATAATCCAATGTTCGTAGGGAAAAGAGAGCTTGAGCCAATGTTTGTAGGAAAAAGAGAGGATAATCCAATGTTCGTAGGGAAAAGAGAGATCGAGCCAATGTTTGTAGGAAAAAGAGAGGATAATCCAATGTTCGTAGGGAAAAGAGAACTCCAACCCATGTTTGTAGGTAAAAGAGAGGATAATCCAATGTTCTTAGGGAAAAGAGAACTCCAGCCAATGTTTGTAGAAAAAAGAGAGGATAATCCAATGTTCGTAGGGAAAAGAGAGCTTGAGCCAATGTTTGTAGGAAAAAGAGGGATAATCCAATGTTCGTAGGGAAAAGAGAGATCGAGCCAATGTTTGTAGGAAAAAAGAGAGGATAATCCAATGTTCGTAGGGAAAAGAGAACTCCAACCCATGTTTGTAGGAAAAGAGGGATAATCCAATGTTCGTAGGGAAAAAGAGAGCTTGAGCCAATGTTTGTAGGAAAAAGAGAGGATAATCCAATGTTCGTAGGGAAAAGAAACCCCAGCCAATGTTTGTAGGAAAAAAGAGAGGATAATCAATGTTCGTATGGAAAAGAGAACTCCAGCCAATGTTTGTAGGAAAAAGAGAGGATAATCCAATGTTCGCAGGGAAAAGAGAGATCGAGCCAATGTTTGTAGGAAAAAGAGAGGATAATCCAATGTTCGTAGGGAAAAGAGAGCTCCAGCCAATGTTTGTAGGAAAAAGAGAGGATAATCCAATGTTCGTAGGGAAAAGAGAACTCCAGCCAATATTTTTAGGAAAAAGAGAGGATAATCCAATGTTCGTAGGGAAAAGAGAGATCGAGCCAATGTTTGTAGGAAAAAGAGAGGATAATCTAATGTTCGTAGGGAAAAGAGAACTCGAGCCAATGTTTGTAGGGAAAAGAGAGGATAATCCAATGTTCGTAGGGAAAAGAGAGCTTCAGCCAATGTTTGTAGGAAAAAGAGAGGATAATCCAATGTTGGTAGGGAAAACAGAACTCGAGCCAATGTTTGTAGGTAAAAGAAAAGATAATCCAATGTTCGTAGGGAAAAGAGAGCTCCAGCCAATGTTTGTAGGAAAAAGAGAGGATAATCCAATGTTCGTAGGGAAAAGAGAACTCCAGCCAATGTTTGTAGGAAAAAGAGAGGATAATCCAATGTTCGTAGGGAAAAGAGAACTCGAGCCAATGTTTGTAGGTAAAAGAAAGGATAATCCAATGTTCGTAGGGAAAAGAGAACTCCAGCCAATGTTTGTAGGAAAAAGAGAGGATAATCCAATGTTCGTAGGGAAAAGAGAACTCGAGCCAATGTTTGTAGGTAAAAGAGAGGATAATCCAATGTTCTTAGGGAAAAGAGAACTCCAGCCAATGTTTGTAGGAAAAAGAGAGGATAATCCAATGTTCGTAGGGAAAAGAGAACTCCAGCCAATGTTTGTCGGAAAAAGAGAGGATAATCCAATGTTCGTAGGGAAAAGAGAGCTTGAGCCAATGTTTGTAGGAAAAAGAGAGGATAATCCAATGTTCGTAGGGAAAAGAGATCTCCAGCCAATGTTTGTAGGGAAAAGAGAGGATAATCCAATGTTCGTAGGGAAAAGAGAACCCCAGTCAATATTTGTAGGAAAAAGAGAGGATAATCCAATGTTCGTAGGGAAAAGAGAACTCCAGCCAATGTTTGTAGGAAAAAGAAAAGATAATCCAATGTTCGTAGGGAAAAGAGAGCTTGAGCCAATGTTTGTAGGAAAAAGAGAGGATAATCCAATGTTTGTAGGAAAAAGAGTACTCGAGCCAATGTTTGTAGGAAAAAGAGAGGATAATCCAATGTTCGTAGGGAAAAGAGAACTCGAGCCAATGTTTGTAGGAAAAAAAGAGGATAATCCAATGTTCGTAGGGAAAAGACAGCTCCAGCCAATGTTTGTTGGAAAAAGAGAGGATAATCCAATGTTCGTAGGGAAAAGAGAGCTTGAGCCAATGTTTGTCGGAAAAAGAGAGGATAATCCAATGTTTGTAGGAAAAAGAGAGGATAATCCAATGTTCGTAGGAAAAAAAGAGCTACAGCCAATGTTTGTAGGAAAAAGAGAGAATAATCCAATGTTCGATGGGAAAAGAGATGATAATCCAATGTTTGTAGGGAATAAATACCCCCAGCCAATGTTTGTAGGAAAAAGAGAGGATAATCCAATGTTCGTTGGGAAAAGAGATATCCAGCCAATATCTGTTCAAAGGAGAAACGATAAACCTATGTTTGTTGGAAGAAGAGTGGATAATCCAATGTTTGTAGGAAAAAGAGAAGATAATCCAATGTTTGTGGGTAAAAGAGAGGATAATCCAATGTTTGTAGGGAAAAGAGATGATGATCCTATTTTTTTCGTGGAAAGAAAGCTCCAACCTATGTTACTAGGGAAAGGAGACGATGATCTAATCTTTCTAGCGACAAGAAGCGATAATCCAATGTTTGTAGTAAAAAAAGAGATGCAGCAAATGTTCTTAGGCACAAAAGAGGATAACCCAATGTTTGTAGGGAAAAAAGAGGATAAGCCAATGTTTGTGGGGAAAAGATACGATAATCCAATGTTTGTAGGGAAAAGAGAACTTAGTCCTCTGTTCCTGGGAAAAACAACCGATAATACATTGTTTGCAGGGAAAGGGGAGCACCAACCAATATTCGTCGGAAGAAGGGGGGATAATCCAATGTTTATAGGAAAAAGAAATGAAAATCCAATGTTTGTAGGCAAAAGAAACCCCCAAGTAATGTTCGTTGGAAAAAGAGTGGATAATCCAATGTTCGTGGGAAAAAGGGGTCCAAAACCGATGTTCGTTGGAAAAAAGAACAACAAGCCAATGTTCGTCGGAAAAAGGAAAAAGAATTTAATGTTTCCCGGGAAAAACGGTCCATGGCCTATGTTTGCTGGGAAAAGGAAGGATCATCCAATGTTTGTGGGGAAAAAGGTCGCACGGCCACTGACATTAGAGAAAATATATACTCGGCGTATGTTTGTAGGAAAAAGGGAGCCTCAGTTAATGTCTGTTAGAAGAGGAGATGATAATCCAATGTTTATAGGGAAAAAAGTGCCCCAGCCAATGTTTATGGGGAAAAAGGAGAATAAGCCTATGTTTGTAGGAAAAAGGGATTTCCTTCCTATGTTTGTTGGAAAAATAGATCCTCAACCTCTGTTCATGAAAAAAAGAGAAGAAAAACCTATGTTTATTGGGAAACGGGAACCTCGTGCTATGTTTTTAAAAATACGCGAACCTGAACCCATGTTTGTGGGGAAAAGGAATACTCAGAATAGGTTTATAGAAAAAAAGGGTATGGTCCCATCATTTGTAGAGAAAAGAAACAAGCAACCAATGTTATGGAAAAGGGGACTCCAGTCGCTGTTTGTACAGAGGAGTATTTCAATGCCTAAATTCTTCTCAAGAAGCTATAAAAACATGAAATATTGGCACAAAAGGCAGCCCATTCCACTATTTGTTGGCAAAAGAGAAACCGAATCCCTATTACGAGGGAATGCAGAAAGGCAGTCTACATTTGTTGGTAAAAAAGAAGAGATGCCAATGTTTGTTGGTAAGAAAAGTAACCAACCTAGTGTTTGGGGAAAACAGTCGTCGCAACCAGTGTTTATTAGAAGTCGAAATGTGCCAATGTTTGTAGGGAAAAGAGGAAGAATACCAGCATCTGAATCCAAAATAGTTCCCACTCAATCACTTTTCGATATAGCAGACTTTGATTCTTCGATTGAAGAAATCGATAATTCATTAAATAAAATTCTGTATAGTCGAGACACATCTAACGTGCAAAATCAGTTAACAAATGACATACCACATAAGAAACTCGATCAGCCAATCGTAAAGGTTTCATCTAAAGAAAAGCATATGAATGATAATTATAAGCAAGGAATCGTAAGTAATAATTCATCTCAGTCAATGTTACCCAATAGATATGGTCTGTCAACCCATGGGAATAGCAAACAAGTGATAGATTTTCTAAAACCCAATAAAAGAGAAAGGAATATAGTAAAACGGTCAACAGGTAAACATAACAATAAAATGCCAGTAATTAAGAAATCAAATATTAGTAAACGTAATCGATACTCAGAAAATTTCATTGGTCAGCGACATTTGCATGATGATACCCCATCTGAAATATTAGCCATTAACAAGCGCAATATTCCCCTAACGTTCGGTAATTTGCCTAATAGACACCAACAAAGAAACAATCCCTTATCCCTTATTTTAGATCAGAGTTCTCCCCACCAATCGAGATTTATGCTCAGTGAAATGGCGTTATCAGATCCTTATCCAACAGATGAGCAGGCTGACTTCCGGAAACGGAATGCTCTACCGACGGATGAATTCCGGCTGGCAGCCGCTGGAACAAAACAAGAATCTGTGATCGAGACAGGGCAGACGAAAAATGATCATTTCGAGAAGATGGAGTCAGAAGACATGCCATTTGGTTCTAAACATCAAAATACGAACAAGTCTTTCAGATCGAACGGAAGTGATACTCAAGTGGTTGCCAGTCGTTATTGGAAGCCTGCAGGCGTCGCCGTAAATGTCCGAGACTTTCGAAATAGCGCCGTATCAGCTCCGGCAAGCCAAGTACGGTGATGACACCACCAACAACATGTGATCCTCAAAGCCGTACATCCCCGAACGACGATACGATAGCAGGCAAGTCTGAGTAATTTTTTGTCGTTTAGCCTCCTACTATTTTTTTATTGTTAAAATAATTAAACGGTTTTTTTTTTGTTCATATTTATTTCAAAATCATTCAAAAAGAAATTTCCAATCGATAAGTATGAAATATATAAAGTTGGCTTAAAAGAAAAAAATTATATTTTATAAAGAGAAAAATATTTTATTTATTGCAAATATTTTTATTTTCAATATATTTATAAACGAAATAATTTCTCTAAATCGAGACAGAACTTTTTCGTTTAATTTTGCGCTAAACAAGTCGTAAAATATGTTTAAAAATCGCCTTCAATATGACACGCTAAAGAATCAGACAAAACGAAAATTTCAAAAGCATTACATCATTCCGTTGTGGAATCTGCGCTCAACTGCGTCTGCAAAGCCAAACAGACAAATCAAACACTCCGCGCTCATTCTATGTTCACTATCATTCGTAATCCACAAAAAAAAAATTCTATTCCTTTTCAACAGACAATTATAGCATAACTCATGCCTTTAAAATCTAATAACGTTTACCTGTTTTCATAAAACCTGACCCTGAACTGGAAAATGCTTATCTTCAAATACAAAATCGATGATTATCGTGTATTATGTAATACCTGTTCCCATCTATTTTGCTCTAAATCGCGGTTTGGTTGGGTGGTTATTTCTACATGTTAATTCTGATTAGGATATTTACCGTAGTTTTTTCTTTCTTTGTCTAGGCAATCAAATGAGTTGTAATAATTGTTAAACAGACTAAACTCTTTCATCTTTTCTCCACGCCGTCATGCTCTGACTGTTTTAAGTTATTGCCCTACATTATGAAATAATGCAATAAATGCGATTTACCAACGAATATGTTGAAAAATATTCATTGATTTTTACTCGTGACTTTACTTTTCGCTTCTTCTAAGGGCCCCGTTTTCATTAGATCTGAGATGAAATTTCCAAAAGAAAACTCTAAAGGAATCATATTGGCATTATAACATTTTCTCTTCTAAAGAGGGTGATTTTACGACTGAGACTGGGGATCATTGCAGCTACAAAAAATAAAATAGCAAATATGATAATAGCTAGCTTTATGCTATTGAGTGGAAACTATAGGTGACACGGCGTAGCAGAATCGGCGTCTCCCTAAAGCGAAGTCAGCGGTCAGGTGGAGGATTCTCCCGACGGAATTAACACCGACACGTGTCCATCACTAAAATTAGCTATATCAAAATGGAGGATATCGACTGTGGGTTGACCTGGAGAGAGATGGACTGTGCCAGGTATATTTGCTACATATTAGGGACAACCTCTGTTTCAAACCACGAGTGTGGAGGTCTATGCTCACAGAGACCTTGCGATTACACTATCATGGAACTAATGATGATGATGATGATGGTGGTGATTGTGATGGTGATGAACGCCCATAATATTAAGTAGGTACGGCCATAGATTTGCGATACCTAAGTTTTAAAATTAATTTAAAAAAAATGAAAAATCATTCTGGAAGTTTTAATTTTAGTTTTAATTTCAAGCTAATCGATTCAATGTAATATTTCCAATAAAATATACTCTTCTAACACTTTATTTGAGGAATATTATCTGATTTACAGTCTAATTAGTCTGATTTGAAACAAATATTATTTATTTTAAGTATAACATATCAGAGAAATGCATTTTTTAACATGGCGGTAGCTGTTTATTAATGCTGTTGACATGTTGACAGCTTGGTGTCAGATGAATTTGTATCTAACATTTTTCTATAGTGGATATATCCGTTAAAAATAAGTGAAGAGTATAACTTGAGCGCCCCTTTTATATAATTTTTAAATACTCAATAATGTAATAAATTTAGAAAAATATTCTTTGTAATCTAATGTTTTATTGAATTTTAGATACATTATGTAAATAGTCATCACTCTTATTTTCTGATAACAATATTCCTAACCTTTACGCCATTGAAACTGAATTTTAAAAGATTTAAAATCTTTATTCATTATTCTTATTAGAATTTTTAAAAAATGAAACAAAATCTTGTAAAAATTCCTTATTCATCGAAAATACTTTCCATAATGTATATTATTCATAAACTATTAAAAGTTTTTTTTTTCTAATTAAATAATGTATTTGTTTTATTTCATTTTTTTATTTTACGATTCAGAACAGATTTTCTGTAAGACTGGGTCTTATTTAACTAGAACAAAAATTCTTATTCTTTTAACTAATATGGTCATTAAAAATTATCTCGTTGAATTTCTCGATTTTTCATAAAATTCAGTAAGTGATGTGTAACACATCTAAAAAAGATTTTCTAAAAATAAAAACATTTCTAAAATAATTTAATTCATTAGTGAATAAATTCAGGAATTTTCCTTAAAATCCGGCAATTTTTAAAGACAATAAAATTCCCTAATTAGTTAATTTTACTCCCACCACTGATGAAAAAAAAATTAACCTAAATTTCGAATGTTCTAAAAAGAATTAAAAATACTTTAGTCTTCCTCTTAATAACATAAAGATTTAGGCAATAAAACTTAGTTTTTATCAAGTTTGGGGAACTTTTTCATCATAGAATGCTCTTTTTTTCGGTGAATTAGTGAAGGCAGATTACTTAATATTATTAAGTAATGTAGCCTGCGTAAATTGGAGGATAACTTAAGACTATCTCGACAAAAGTGTTGTCGAAATCAGATAAATTTTGAATTACTGAATTGTAAGCAAACACTACTGCTGCGAATATTTATTGCGCCAATAATAATAATAATAATAACAAAAAACGGTGCCTCCTTATTGAAATGGCAGTCCCTGCTGACTGCAATGTATTTTTGAAGATATTCAAAAAGCTGTCAAAATACAAGGGCCTTGAAATAGAAATCTCGAAAATGTGGCATATGGGAATATCAACAATCCCTGTTGTAGTTGGAGCCCTAGGACTGGTTGGAAAAGATTCCAGTAGACTAATTGAAGGGATTCCTGAAAGTCTATGCCTCAAAGAGATACAAAAAATTGTTCTGACAAGTACAGCCTACACTTTACGAAGGGCTTCATCTAAGTAATTTTTTTTTTTTTGTCAGTGGAAAGTGCCATGATGCCATTTCTAACCTTAGGTCCCTGGGCGGGACCCGGAAAGAAATGTAAACGCCAGAAATCAAAGAAAATAATAATAATAATAATAATAATAATAAAAAAAAAAAAAAAAAAAATTAACATGAAATGTGGCCATAACAACACACCACGACCTGCCTTAGGTCTTTCCGCAGACTTGGTAGGTAGTGTGTCCATAGCAGAAATCGAATGATGATGATGATGATAATATAATAATAATAATAATAATAATAAATACTACGTTATATCAGGCATGGATTATTGATTGGTGTTGTTAACTATAACACGCTTTGTTGTGGCGAATTTAGATGGCTATAGTAAATATCTTGTTCCATAGCAGTATTTATTAGTCAAGAAGTTATATTTCTCCATCTTAGTAATGAAATATGGTAACAGGCTTCATCGATGGACGCCACTAAGTAAATATCATATGAGTAAAAAGGGAGATCAGTGAAGAAATCAGCTAATAACATTGTTTTATTTTTAAGCATTAGCTTTCTTTTTCTTACATGTAACCAAAGAGGTAATTGTATAAACTATATTACCTTAGATTAGTCACGCAAAAAGTATACCTAATGTAATTGCAGAATTACTTAAGTTATGCAGTAATTTTCTGAAGTTGCATATATATTAGTCTTAATAATTGTTTCACTGAGGTATTTACGTCCCAAATGTCTCCTAATCGTGATAACGACCAAAGATGTTATGCGGAAAACGCTAACCGAACACGATTTACCGTATGTAGGTTTTGCTGTCCAATCAACAAAAGAAAAACTAAACGAAAAAAAGAAAACTCTTCTTGTATATGATAGATATTTGTAGAAAAATCCTGAATGTTTCTTAACGTTTATAGTTACAAAGGACAATGGAAATATTCTTTTACATTGTGAGTTTTTATATTAAAATCTGATATCTACAGTAATATATGTTTAGGTGCATATATGATTAATGTCCCCAAATATTATACTTGTATTAAAACATATATTTAAAAAAAAATCATTCATTTTGTGCGGTTTCTTTCACAATAGCCGTTACAAAAGGGTATTACAGACTTCCAGCTAACCAAAGAATACCAGAATATAGGTAAAGGAAATAACTAAAATACAGGCACCACATAATCGAAAGCACTTAAACAAAAATAAAACACACACGCACACACACATACTTTCGTTCTGGATTTACATTGAGTTCTCAGGATTTCATCCTCTTTGAGACTACCCATACGGATTAACAAGTTTCTCATAACTTAATTATATATATATATATATATATATATATATATATATATATATATATATATATATTTATAATTTTCGGGCTGTTGCCCCATCTTTATTGGCATGTTCACAATAAAGATGTTCATATATATATATATATATATATATATATATATATATATATATATATATATATATATATATATTGAACTTTACTGTCGTCTTCGCCGTATGATGGCTCAGAAACTCAGTTCTGAGAACCCGACATCCAGACTACCCACACTCACGATTTCATTAAATTGGTAGAATCTTGCATAGAACCAACCACACTTTTGGGAAGAATCAAAGACAGATAACTGGTGCATATAATCAGCCACAAGGTCTGCAAACACAAACAACTCTCCTTTTTCTTAATTCAGATTTCTCGTTCTATTAGGACTCGTTGCCGACCAATGCTAAAAAA